CCTCGCGTAGCTTTCCGCGAAATTCAAAAGCAAAAAAAAACCAAAAAAAAACCCACAAATATACGTAGCCTACCTTTCAAACTTTCAATGCGTTTAATAGAATACCATATTAAATACATTCTGCTTCCCGGTGACACAGTTAAACTACAAACAAACAAATAAATATTGTAATTCAACTCGAATGCATAATGGTATAAAAGAAATATCTTGCATCAAATTCTGAAGCTTCTACGTCTTTTTTTGTTTGTTTTTTTCTTTTAGCAGTGAAAACGTCATCACCCAACACAGAGGGCGACACCTACGCTTAGATGACATCATCGGTTTTGGGTGGAACGGCCAACCTCCTCCCTCAATATTTTTTTGGAAAACCATTCTCGGAGTTGTATCTTGCTGTTATCGAAGAAACTGATCTAATCTGCATCACATTAAATGTGTAAGTCCTTTCTACAATATTTCCATTTTTATTCTGTTCGTGGTTAGAGTGACATTGGACTCTGCCTCACGTGTAGTATAGACAAGAGGTACTCATATTTCAAGCGCAAGACTATTCTTAATGAATTCATCGTATATAATAGACCGAATATTATATACGCATGACATTTTGGTAGATTCGAGGTTTCGGACAAAAAAGACGAAATATTTAATTTAAAAGTTAAATTAATTTTGAGATACCAAGTTTTAAATAATTGCGGATTTAAATTTCGTATCAATAAATAATCATCATCGTAGTTTAAAGTTTTCAGCCTTTAATTCGTACTTAAAAAAAGAGTAAACAATGATCTAAGAGTAAACAATGATCTAAGAGTCAATGTGTTTGAATAATCATCATCTTAGTTTAAAGTTTTCAGCCTTTAATTCGTACTTAAAAAAGAGTAAACAATGATCTAAGAGTAAACAATGATCTAAGAGTAAACAATGATCTAAGAGTCAATGTGTTTGAATAATCATCATCGTAGTTTAAAGTTTTCAGCCTTTAATTCGTATTTAAAAAAAGAGTAAACAATGATCTAAGAGTAAACAATGATCTAAGAGTCAATGTGTTTGAATAATCATCATCGTAGTTTAAAGTTTTCAGCCTTTAATTCGTATTTAAAAAAGAGTAAACAATGATCCAAGTTTCAATGTAGCTAATACTTATATTAATACCGCTAAACAACATATTATATACATCTACAGTTTCAAGGACTGTGATCTCGCGGAATTAGTAATTGACGTGTATAACGAGGGGACCTGTCCCCCATATACAACTATAATTGTCTAACTTTTGGCAAATATTAATCCACCAAATACTTTAGTTGTGTAAAGTGTCACTTGATACAGAATTAAACCACGAGTAAATTGAATTAGGCCTAACGTATACATAGCTTCTCAACCACTACTACGTTTGTCGTATCCCAGTAGGCGTGAATAGCCCTGGTATTGGACAAAAGGCCTCGTCGACACTGGATAAGAGCAGAAATAGCAAGAATGAGTATATTGATATACTCTCTTTTTTTAACGTTTGAAACGAGATTAAACTCACGCGATTATTAAGAAAGTTTGACTGAAGGTAGTCTTCACTGACAATTAATTTTCTATGCTTGTTTGTAATCGATCACAAAGCTACACAATGGGCTATCTGTGCTCTGCCCACCACGGGTATCGAAATCCGAATTCTAGCGTTGTAAGTCCGCAGACATGCCGCTGTGCCACTGGGGGGGGGGATTTTCTATGCACATCTACAAATATGACTGTGTACCGCCTGGAATACTCTATCTGTTATATCACTGGAGTAAAGGTAAAGTTTGACCAAGTCAGTGCACCATTTGGACTAAACGCACGTGTGTGTATTATATATATATATTAACCGAGAAAAATTGATTACTTATTTTTACATCTCGGTTTTCTTAAAGTTTACCTAGACCATTAATTACGAAAGGTTTTAGATTGATTACGTTTTTAATCCTGTCTTGGGATCTCTGCACTTCCAGATTTTTCAGTTTCACGGTCAATAATTACAGAATTATTTTTCTTTAAAGTGTAACAGTGGTATGTCTGCGGACTTGTACTGCTAGAAATCGGGTTTCGATACCCGTGGCGGGCAGAGCACAGATAGCCCTTTGTTTAGCTTTGTGCTTAATAACAAACAAACAACAACAACAACTGTAAATTAGTACGTAAAGCCCTCAGTAGCTTACCGGAAAGTTCGAGGGCGTATCTCTCCAACTTGAGGCTCGATTCTTACGAGGACAGCTTTGTGCATTACAAAACAAATAAGTAAACATTATATAAATCTTTTTTTAAATTATTCAAACAGTAACTAAATTCGTTTACTTAAAAATCCATGTTTCAAGTGGTTTCACACCGTCCTCTTAAAACTACTTTACACAGGCAAGTTATTTGTTCAGTTTACAACGGAAAACTCAGTTGAATTTCTTCAAGACAATGTTGGACAAAGAAAAAAAAAGAGGACGTTATATTTAAAACATAAGACAGGAAGAATTTATCATGAATTGTCGAGAAACATATAATTTCGTGTC